TTACGTAAAACTAGAACACACTCTTGCTATCAATTGTCAATCAACTGAAAAAAAACTCATACGTAGGAAAACAAATACATTATGGACCAACCGATTTGCTTGGTCAGAGAGCTTAAACGCAATACGGTTTCTATGAGATTATCTCTTAAGTTGCGTGCTATTCGTATTTTCAAAAGATCCTTTGATCAGGCTGACACAAACAATATCAAAGTAGTTTTTCATGATATGCAGGTTATCGTAGTGTTTTTTTCATCGTGTGTTGCATTAATGTTGGTTTACAAATAATTATTACTATATTTTTTAACGTCGTTTGTTTGTTTTGTAGGGTACCCGCATAACAGGTATAATTCGTTATATGCCTGTTTTTGCTGGGGTTTTTGAGGAAGATAGAGTTTATGTCATCAGCAATTACCGGCTAGAAGTTAATTTTGGAAACTATAGATCAACGCAAGAAGAACTCAAAGTCATCATTGACGGCGATACTGAAATCATTCAACAGCTTTCGAATTTCCCAACATGGCACTTCGACTTCAAAAGTTTCGCAGAAATTCAAAATATTGACTTTGACATTCACTCGCATCTTCATGGTAAATCGTTATATTCATGTTGAATCGAATATTTTTTTAATTTAAATTTTTATAGTTCGTATATTACTTAATTAAATTTTAATTTTGCGGCTCAGTGATGATGTTATAAAGAATCTCACCCTAAGCGAAATTTAGACGTTGTTGAGAAGGCGCGGCACAAGTCTTCGGGATTATTCATCCATGCCTTATCCAGTCAGAGATCATAGTAACTCCACTTCGAATCGTTTAATATTGGATGAGCTAAATTACGATCGGAAGGCTTTATCTGTAGAGCACGAAGCACTTCTTAGTAGAATGACCGACGAGCAGAAGAATGTTTATTCAAAGATCATGGACGTTGTTGATTCTGCTAATGGTGGTGTATTTTTTGTATACGGATATGGCGGGACTGGGAAGACCTACTTGTGGAGAACATTGTCTGCGGGGTTACGATCGAAGGGTAAAATTGTTTTGTGTGTCGCATCAAGTGGAATAGCATCTCTTTTGTTGCCTGGTGGGAGAACTGCACACTCTCGATTTCGCATACCGCTGAGTATTCATGAAAATTCATCCTGCGATATCGACCAGGCAAGTCCTCTTGCGGCACTTATAATACGATGCTCTCTCATTATATGGAACGAGGCGCCGATGATGCACAAACATTGCTTCGAAGCTGTCCAAACATCATTGCAGGCTATTATGGGAGCAGTTGACCCTTCCAACAGTAACAAGCCATTCGGAGGCAAACCTGTTGTATTTGGTGGAGAATTTCGACAAATACTTCCAGTTATTCCAAAGGGGAGTCGTCAGGACATTGTGAACGCAACCATTAATTCTTCTGACATTTGGAGGAATTGTACAGTGTTGCGTCTTAATAAGAACATGCGTCTTCAGAGCATTTCAGATGTAGACGAACGTGATGAGCTAACAACATTTGCTGAGTGGATTGCGAGCATTGGAGATGGGACTGTAGGAGGATCAAATGACGGTTGTGCCGCGATAGACATTCCAGAGGATATACGATTGGAAACCTCAGATGATCCAATTTCTACAATCGTCGAAAGTATCTATCCAATGTTCAAAAATGCAACTGACGATCCAAGTTATTTGAAGGACAGAGCTATATTAGCGCCTACTTTGGAGGTCGTTGAGTCTATCAATCAATACATGTCGGATATGAATTCTGCTGAAGGTCGTACATATTTGAGCTCTGACAGTACGTCTAAGTCGGATTCCGGCAATGGCTTTTTGGCTGATCTCCACACACCCGAGTTCTTGAATAACATTAAGTGTTCGGGAACGCCGAACCATGAGTTGCATTTGAAGATAGGAACTCCGGTCATGTTGTTGCGAAACATGGACTATTCTATGGGTCTGTGTAATGGCACACGTTTGGTTGAAACGAAGCTCTCTCCGCATGTTCTTGAATGTAGGATATTGACTGGAGATCACGCAGGTGAGAAGGTGTTGATTCCTCGGATGAACATAACTCCTTCTAATGTTAGGGTTCCATTTAA